CGTACGAGTTACTGTTGTTTTTGAGATGTTTTGATGTGTTTTTCGAAAGTGTTCCAGTCATCAACACAAATATGGAGTCATAGATTTGAAATCGTTTTCCGCTCCGTTCTCGCAATTCATTGACATGATCGTTGTTCTAGCATCCGATTGATGTTCTTTCAGACAAATAACAAAGCTCAGAGTTTAGCAAAACGTTGAAAAAAAAGTCATTTCCTTAGTTTTTAAAGCATTTATTAAATATATCGCTAAAAGTTTCGCTTTGCTTAAACAGAACAGTTGAAGTTGTTAATATCTTGTTCTGCTCTTTTTCACCTTGCTATAGAAACTGCCTGTATCCAAAGCTATCTTATTGAGGGTATTTCTGCTCCTTTTCTTGCTACTGACTGTATCGGTGGACTATTTCGTGAACTAAAGAGGCACTCTTCTGCTGGTTCTATAAAGGTTGTCTTGTGAATTTCTTAAAACAGTTTTATCTTTTTAGTCGTTCATAGCTTTTCACTTCTGCATATTTTAAAACACCAAAAATTTGTATAAATTAGGTTTTCGTTGCCATTGACGATGCGAATTCATTGTGGGGTAAAACATTGGTGAAGAAGGCAGATAGGACATTTGTAAGTTTTTTTGTTATATTCTAGTTGGCCTTTTAGTGGATCATTAGTTTACTTAAATGTTTGCATTATGTCATTCAGGCATCCCCTTCTGATCTCACCCTTGTGAATCATTATAGAAGTTTGATCTCATCAGATTGGGTGAGCGTTAAGTTCCAGCACAGCACTATGAGCTTTTCCATTCAGTAGAGTTGAATTGTTGAAATTTGCAGGAGAATGGGTGCATTTTGTTAGTAGCTGACAAGAAAGAAGTCTCGGATGCAAGGGATGAGGTCACTGTGCCACGACATACGCCTTTGGAGTTGTTTGGTGAAGAAGGATTCTATTTCATTGAGGTTTGCTCCAATTGATCCTATAATCTAATTAGCTATACTTTTTGCAAGAATGTAATATCATTTTCCAATTTATTACAGCCATTCTTACCGATCGAAGTCAAACAATACACTATGGAGGAAATTAGCAATATGTACCAGTACTATTACGATAAACGGTGGCTTGCCAGTGAAAAAGGTAATCGGATTTGCTTTACGTTGTATTATTTTTTGAGTTTTTTTCCAACAATCTTTCCTCGTGGAAATTGTTTGCTGTGAAAGGCCACTTTGTTTTTTCCGACTTTACCACAGTACTCCATACTCGTTATGGCGTTAAGTAGGACGTGAGGTGGCAGGGTTTGATGCATATTGACCTGCCTGCAAATACTGATTATAAAAAGAACTCTACTTTTTTTATGATTACTTTTTCAACAATGATTTCAGCTCGAACAGAAGAAGGCAAAAAACAATTGTTCTACCTCAGCGCCTTCAACCCTTACAATTTTGAAAGGTTATGTGCTTTTAACTAGGTAGTTGTATAGGAATCATTGATTATTTCGTTATTGTTTTGTTGTAGCTCATTTGATGATGAAACTTGCATTGATTACATATCATCTTGTTTCGTATTCTTCGGCTGAAGTGGAAACTTAGAGCAACAGAGAAGAAATCTGTTGGAATGCTATATTTTCAGACCAACGCAAGTTTTTTGCTGATAACCTACATTTGTAAATGTTCGAGATTTGAGTCCCATTTAGCGTTCGTTCTTTGTGACAACAAATAGTCTGCTTAATGGAGTATATGAAATTTTCTTTATACTACTCCCTGCGTAGAATATGGATGAAACAGCTAGGCACTTTCGATTACGTTGAAGATTAACGTCCTTTATAGAAAGCTTAGAGGAATCTGTGTGGCAGGCACTTGCAGTCACGTGTGCTATGACAGTTACAGCTTGTTGCATTAAGGCTGAGAGCGTGTATTTCGAAAATTTAAAAATGGTCTTATAAGTTATGACCAAATTCATCAATACACTTCTATAATCTGCTATTTTCTCAGAAATTTTTATGTCAGTCGTGGAAATAAACCTGTTTCTATCCGAAATTGTTAAGGAATTCAAAAATTTGGAACGCATGCAGAACCGTAACGTTTATTGT